GGAAAGTAGAATTAAAAGGTAATCTTGCGGGCCGGTGCCACGGCTCACTAGGCTAATCCTCCGCCTAGCGGCACTGGCACACCGGGTTCTAGTCCCGTTCGGGGCGCTGGATTCTGTCCCGGTTGCCCCTCTTCCAGGCCAGCTCTCTGCTGTGGCCAGGGAGTGCAGTGGAGGATGGCCCAAGTGCTTGGGCCCTGCACCCCATGGGAGACCAGGAGAAGTACCTGGCTCCTGCCATCGGATCAGCGCGCCAGCCGCAGCGGCCATTGGAGGGTGAACCAACGGCAAAGGAAGACCTTTCTCTCTGTCTCTCTCTCTCACTGTCCACTCTGCCTGTGAAAAAATTTAAAAAAAGGTAATCTTGCTACGAAAAATGTGGGCGTTTCACGACAGGCATTTTCTTTGAACTTGCTCAAGAGCGTGTGCACAGAGTGGGTTTCAGAAAGGTTTGCCTGTTCGTGCTGGCCCCACCAGGGCCGCAGCAGGGTCTCGGTGTCACTGTGTCCCGATGCAGGGCCCCACGGCAGCTTGTCGTTTCATTTCCTCGCTTGTGCGCATTTCGTGTCTTTTGTTCACGTAACGTACGTTTCCAATCATGGGTGAAGTTTAACGTTCCACAGATCTGCACACTCTTCAGACCTCGGCTTTGCGCTGTTTTCTGCTCAGCGCCTCCACAAGGTGCTCACTGCCTTCCCTGTTGGTGTGCGTTGTGTCCTAAATCCAGGGTCCCCTCTGGGCCGTCGCTGGCCTGGGCTTGCCCGACTTCCTGTGTCCTTCCCTGGAGCTGTCAGCTCCTCTGGATGCGAATCACCGCATTGCCGCCTGCCTCCATCCCTCCCTCCACTCCACAGCGGGGAAGAGAAGACGGCATTCAGTGAACTCGCCCGGGTCTGCCTTAGCAGGAAGCTGGCGCCAGGAGCCGGAGCAGGGACTTGGAGGCAGGGACTCCGAAGCGTGGTGCAGGCGCCCTAGCCGCTCGTCCAAGCCCTGTCCCAGCTTCCTTTGCTGGTTCGCTGCTGTTGGTGGTGGTCCTCTGTGTCCCTGACACTGAGGGTCCCTGCCAGTCTTTCTCCTTCCCTGTGCCTGTGTCAGTCCCTCACAGCTCAGGGGAAAACAGCTGGCTCAGGAGAACTGAGGTTGCAGGGAAAATGGAAGGCAGGGGGGTCTTCTCCCCACTCTGCGGGTGTTGGGAGACCCCAGTGGACTTCGCCTGTCGCCTTTGACCAGAGGCATTGGTGTTTATGATCCCATTTCCTGAAATCCCATTCTCAAACTACTTTAGAGTTCCTGGATGTACAGCAGGCATATGACCCTCGTCATTTGTTGGGGTTTCAAGGCAGTCTATTTAAACATGTGGAGTTAGTGGAGCTGCTCTCACAGCACTGTTCAATTGGCCACAGCCCTTGGGGACACGGTGGACATGAGCTGGAAAGCAGCACGTCTTCGCATTGGAGAGCTGCATTTGCACATGTGCTGAGGCCCTCCTGGTGGCAGCGTGGCCGTGAGACAAGCTGCCCGAGACTGGGTGGCCTACAGAGCGGGAGCTTCTCGCAGTCTGGAGGCTGTGAGGCCCAGGATGAAGGTGCTGGCCCATCTGCTTCCCGGGGAAGGCCTTCTTCCTGGCTTGCAGATGCCTGTCTTCTTGCTGTGTCCTCTCACAAGAGATGATAGATGACAGAGATCAATCTGTGTCTCTTCTCTTTTTATAAAGAGGCTTATTTATTTATTTGAAAGTCAGAGATAGAGAGAGATAGAGGTAGAGAGAGATAGAGAGGGAGAAAAAGAGATTTTCCCATCAGATGGCCCCAGGACTGGACCAGGCAGAATCCAGGAGCCAGGAGCTTCATCCGGGTCTCCCACGTGGGGTTCTGGGGCCCAAGCACTTGGGCCATCCTCCATTGCTTTCTCAGGCACATTAGCAGGGAGGCTGGATCAGAAGTAGAGCAACTGAGACATGAACTTGTGCCCGTAGGGGATGCTGGTGTCGCAGGCAGTGGCTTTATCAGCTGTGCCACAGCACCAGCCCCTGACACTAAGCCATCATAAGAGCTCCTTCCTCGTGATCTAATCACCCACTCCAACAACCATTGTGCTGGGAGTTGCAGCTTCAGCATACGAATCTGGGTTGGTGGGGCTCTGATTCAGTCCATAGCATCTTGTGAGCAGTAAAATAGACATTTAAAAAGCTTTGCTCAATTCATCGTCAGATAATGCCATGTAATTTTTTCAGTCTATTACATGGGATTGGATATCATCTATCTATCTATCTGTCTATCTATCTATCTATCTTTCCATCCATCCATCCATCCACCCACCCATCCATCCATCCACCCATCCATTTAAGTTTTTACTTGAGAGACAGAAAAAGAGACAGAGATCCCCAAATGCCAGCAATGGCTGGGGTTATGCTGGGTCTGACGTCAGCACTGAGAATTCAAACCCAGGTCTGCCCTGTGGGTGGCAGGAATGCGATGACTTGAGCCATCACTGCTGCCTGCTAGGGTCAGCACTGGTGAAAAGCTGGAGGCAGGAACCGGAGCCAGGACTCAGACCTGGGCGCTCCCTGTGGGATGTGAGCATCTTAACTGCTGTGCTAACAGCTAGGGGAAAGGCCTGCTCGATGATGTATTTTTGGATGTCGAAAAGTAAAAGGTGGAGAAGCCCACGAATGGGATGCTATTTTTATTTCTGGTAATGTCAGTTTTTCACCACCCAAAAAATAACTAGGCTGAAGTTTGTTTAAAATTCAGATATGGCACAGACGTTAGCCCAGTGCCATGAGCTCTGATGGAGGCACAAAGACATGCTTGGAAAGCATCTCCATCAATCCAAAAGCCTTCCTCATGACCCCTGCGGTCAGTCCACGCAGCTTGCCAGGCAACTGTGTTCTGGTTTATTTCACTGAAGACCTTGTTCGCAAACTCCGTGTAATGGACACCCTATGCTCATAGAATGCACCTGTGGAAGGCAGCCTCTCAAATGGATCTCATTGATGCCCACCTCCTGATGGTCGCTGCCAGGGTCATCACCTCCCTTGGACTATGGGCTGGACCTAGAAGCTGGATTCCAAGGCACAGAGCACAGCACAGATTGGGGGACGGCCTTGCAAAGATCAGGTTGCTGAGCAGTGAGGCTTCTGTCTCTGACGCTTCTCACACATCCCGTCTGATGAAGCAAGTTATTGTCTTGTGAGACGCGCTGTGAAGAAGCCCACGAGGCAACAACAAACACCTGGATGGGGACCGTGGTCCACGATGCCAGATTTGTCACGGGTGACCTTGGCCAGGGGGGCTAAGCAGTTGGTGTGGCAGGAAGCATTGCTGATGATTTCGAGGGAGTTGTCACAGCATCACAAACACAGGGGTATCTGCAGAGGGGCCAGAGATGATGGCTCTTTTGGCTCCAGCCTTCAGATGAGCCCCAGCCTCCGCCACGGTGGTGAGGACACCAGTGGAAGGCCCAGCATCCCTGGCACCAGTGTCACCCCCTTTGATGTTGGCAGCATCTTGCTCCTGGAAGATGCTGATGGCTTTCCCGTTGATGACCTGCTTCCTGTTCTCAGCCTTGACTGTGCCATGGATCTTGCCATGGGTGGAATCATACTAGAACATGGACACCATGTAGTTGAGGTCAACACATCCACTTTTTTGCTAGAGTTAAAAGCAGCCCTGGTGACCAGGCCCCCGATACAGACAAATCCATTCACTCTGACCTTCACCATTGTGTTTCAAGGACAACTGGCATTGCATGAGGACACAGCTGTCTGTCAAATGGGGAGGAGTAGGGAGCCTAGATAAATAGCCTTTTTAAAAAATTAAAAAAAAAATTTTTTTGACAGGCAGAGTGGACAGTGAGAGAGAGAGACAGAGAGAAAGGTCTTCCTTTGCCGTTGGTTCACCCTCCGATGGCTGCCGTGGCCGGCGTGCTGCGGCCGGCGCACCGTGCTGATCCAAAGGCAGGAGCCAGGTACTTCTCCTGGTCTCCCATGGGGTGCAGGGCCCAAGCACTTGGGCCATCCTCCACTGCACTCCTGGGCCATAGCAGAGAGCTGGCCTGGAAGAGGGGCAACCGGGACAGAATCCGGCGCCCCGACCGGAACTGGAACCTGGTGTGCCAGCGCCGCTAGGCGAAGGATTAGCCTAGTGAGCCGCGGCGCCGGCGATAAATAGCTTTAAAATAGAGAAGAGGGGCCAGCGTTTTGGCATAGCAGATAAAGCTGCTGCCTGCGATGCCAGCATCCCAAATGGACTCTGCTTTGAGTCCCAGCTGCCCCACTTCTGATCCAGCTCCCTGATAATACACCTAGGAAAGCAGAGGAAGATGGCCTAAGTGCTTGGGCCCCTGCTACCCACATGGGAGACCTGGAAGAAGCTCCTGGCTCCTGGCTTCAATATGGCCCACCCCTGGCCATTCTGGCCTTTGGGAAGTGAACTGGCGGATGGAAGATCTCTCTCTCTCCCTCTGCCTCTCCTTTTCTCCGTCTCTCCCATTCTCTCTCTGTAACTCTGCCTTTCAAATAAATTAAATAAAATCTTTGAAAAAGTTATTTATTTATTTATCCATTTGAAAGGAGTGTGGGGGAGAGAGAGAGACAGAGAGAGAGAGAGAGAGAGAGATATCTCCCATCTGCTGATTCACTCCCCAAATGGCCAGAACGGCTAGGGCTGGGCCAGATCTAAGCCAGGAGCCAGGAGCTTCTTCCAGGTCTCCCATGTGGGTGACAGGGACCCAAGGGCTTGGGCCATCACCTGGTGCCTCAGCAGGAAGCTGGAATCAGAAGTGGAACTGGGGGGCCGGCACCGTGGCTCACTAGGCTAATCCTCCACCTTGCGGCGCCGGCACACCGGGTTCTAGTCCTGGTCGGGGTGCCGGATTCTGTCCCGGTTGCCCCTCTTCCAGGCCAGCTCTCTGCTGTGGCCCGGGAAGGCAGTGGAGGATGGCCCAAGTACTTGGCCCTGCATCCCATGGGAGACCAGAAGAACCTGGCTCCTGCCATCGGATCAGCGCGGTGTGCCCGGCCATTGGAGGGTGAACCAACGGCAAAAGGAAGACCTTTAAAAAAATCAGAAAAAAAAAAAAGTGGAACTGGGACTCAGACAAACCTAGGGACTCTGACAGGACCCTGAGCCAAACACCTGCTCCCCCACCCAGTCCCCAGGTTTTAATAACAACTCTTTTTTTCACAAGAACTGCACTGCAGGACAGCAGGGTGCCCTTTTTAGGGCAGTTCCCTCAATGACGTAAGGACCTCCTAGGAGCTACCTGCCACAGGCTGCCTCAGCTCCTGCGTCTCCACACTGCCCACCCAGCTCCACGCTCGGGAACCTCTGGGGAACCCTTTTCCAGCCTCTCCAAACCGCAGAGCCCTAAGGGCCTCTCTGCCCCGGCCTCGGCGTCCGCCCGGTTCCCGCGCTCCCCGCTGCCCCCTGGTGGCAGAGCCCGAGCGGCGCTGTGCAGCCCTTCGAAAGAACCCTGGCTGTATCAGAAGCCATGAATCCGAGGATGGTGCCAGGAGGCTCCTCTAACCTCAAGGCCCCGGAGTCGACGCCAAACGCCCAGGCACTGCCGCCGGGAGGAGCAACAGGGGCTCAGAGCCACCGTCGGTGCGGCCATGGGCGAGGCTCTGGAGCTGCTCTTGGTGTGTGTGGGGCTGCTCGTGTGCCTGGCGTGCCTGGGACGGTGCGTCCGACTCTGCAGCTGCGCCTTCCGGAGCTGCTGGCAGGTTTTGCCCAGCGCGTTCTTGCAGTCCATGGGACAATGGGCAGGTAAGGGGTCCCCTTCCCTCTCTTGTTCCGTGGTGGTGGCTTCTGGGGTATGCTGTGTCTCAAGACACCGTGCGTCTCTTCCTTGTTGGAGCAAAGACGCCGTTTGACTTGGAGCTGGTGAGCACGAGTGGGCTCAGGGCTGCCTGAGGAAACTCAGCCTTGGGAAGCCAGAAGGGGCGAGGAGCCCGGCCCGCCGCCAGCCTGGCCTCTGAGCCCACGGTGTGCAGCCTGGTGGAGTTTTCTCATGCCACAAGTCCTCAACAGTGTAGACTGCTGCCTCCTTATCCTGGGGTCGGCAGACGCCGAGGCTGCTTCCGTATTGCTAAATGGTATTTTAAAATTTGGAAATTCAAATAACTGTAATCCATTGTATTTTTAAAAAATACCTGTGCAAGCTGTTTTATGAAATGAGGATGTTACAGGATTAAGGTAAGAAAGATCCCTGAGGTTGAGAGAGAGAGAGAGCCTATCCACTGGTTCACCCCCCGCTAAATGCTTGCAATGTTTATTCCCAACCCCCACTTGCGCACATACACATTGCAGGACTGAAGCCACAAACCAGGAACCCAATGCAGGTCTTGGGTCAATTCAGGTCTCTCATGTGGGTGGCAGGGACCCAAGACCTTGTGCATTAACTGGGAGCTGGAATCAGGGACTGTAGCCAAAAATCAAACCCAGGTTACTGTGCTGGGGGACACGGGCCAACTGGTCACCCTGGAGCCGTGTTTTCAAGACGGATCGATGTGGCGCCTGGGTCCGGGTTGTGTCAGCTACATGCTGTTTCCCGGTGGGCTCGTCAGCTGGGAGCACGCTGGAGGTCATGAGGTCGGGCTTCCAGTACCACCTCGAATGTAGTGTTGGGGACTTTCCACAAGGAAGAAGTTGCAGTGATGTGATACAGCACATAATTTAAATATGCAAGACCGTATCATCCTTACAGGTTACCAGATGAGCTGTAGGATACTTGGATAAATTTGAAGTTCAGCTACACAGGGAGTAACTTTAAATTATTTGTTATTTACCTGAAATTCAGATTTCACTGGCATTCTGTATTTCTTATTGCTGAACTGGCAAGCTTACAAACTTAGCAATGGAAATCGAACTAACTACCATATGAGAAATTGTTTGGAATGACAGGTGAACTTTTAGTTGTTGCTTCTTCTATTTTCCGTGTGTGTGTGTGCGTACAGGGGTCTTCAAAAATTCATGAAAAATATGTATTATGAAAAAGCTGTATGGATTTCAAAAAACGTACCAAGATAAACTATTTTCCACTATATATTCTTTTGAGAGGCAGAGAGCTAGAATTAGAGAGATAGAGAGAGAAAGAGAGACAGGGAGGGAGGTAGAAATGGAGATCTCGTCTGCTGGTTCACTGTCCAGGTGCCCACAGCCTCGAAGGGATGGACGTTGAACCCAGGCACACTGATATGGGATACGGGTACCCCTAGCAGCAGCAGCTGAACTGTCTGTGCCCTAATGATTGTCTCTACATGCACTTTTTGAAGAATTAAAAAAAGTTTATTTGATGATTTTTTGTACCCAAATAAGCTTATCTCTTTTTTTTTTAAAGATTTATTTATTTATTTAAGAGGTAGAGTTACACACAGAGAGGCAGAGACAGAGAGAGAGAGAGAGAGGTCTTCCATCCACTGGTTACCTCTGCAAATGGCCGCAACAGCCGGAGCTGCGCCAATCTGAAGCCAGGAACCAGGAGTTTCTTCCAGGTCTCCCACGTGGGTGCAGGGGCCCAAGGACTTGGCCTATCTTTTTCAGCTTTCCCAGGCCATAGCAGAGGGCTGGATTGGAAGTGGAGCAGCCGGGACTTGAACCAGTGTCCATATGGGATGCCAGAACTGCAGGTGGCGGCTTTACCTGCTCTGCTGTGGCAAAGGCCCCAACTTTATCTTTTACTTTTTTTCCCCACTAACTTTTTGAAGTACCCTTGTATATTTCAAGTAGAGGATAAAAGAAAATCCAATTACTGGAGACTAACTGCTTGAAATCCCTAGCTAATATACCCTTTCCCGGGCTTGGAGTCCTAACTATTTCATCCATATGTCTTTACAGACTTGGGGCCCCAATGTCAGACAGCTTGGGTGTAACTCTTTTTGTCACTGTATTTAACAGTGTGACCTTGACCAAGATAAGAACTTTAAGTCTGAATTATAGGGAAGGGGAGAGGGAGAGAGAGAGAGAGAGACAAAGAGATCTTCCATCCACTGTTTAACCCCCAGATGGCCACAATGGCAGGGCTGGGCCAAGCCCAAGCCACGAGCTTCCCACAGGTCTCCCACGTGGGTGCAGTGGCGAAAACACTTGGGCCATCTTCTGCCGCTTTCCCAGGACATTCACAAGGAGCTGCATTGGAGGCGGAGCAGCCTGGACACAAGCCAGTGCCCATATGGGCTTCTGATGTCGCAGGCAGCAGCTTTACCCAGCATGCCTCGGTGCCAGCCCCAGACTTTCCCTTCTGCTTGCCCTTTAATTGCCGGTGCATCATTCAACTACAGATAGAATAGACTGAATCGTGGTGAATGTTGAGACTGTGAGGGGTGTCACGGGCCGGAAGCTTCAGATTTGGTGGTGTGATGCTTTGGGCTAACAAGTGTCCTAGAGACTGTGAGAAAATGCAGGCAGTGCAAAAGGGAAGCTTCGAGATGAATTCTATGATTTAAAGTGCTTCTGCTTTTTCCCAGTGGTCACCGGAGCGGGAGACGGGATTGGAAAGGCGTATTCGTTGCAGGTGAGTTGTCTTCTGGACTTTCTTTGCCCCTGTGTTAAATGCATCACAGCCATGTGACACTCACCCCAGGGTGGTTTTCTGAACACAAAAGCCATAGACGTCCGTTTAAGAAGAAAGAAACATCTTATTGGAAAGCAAGCTGAATAATTATAATCTTACCCCAAAGCACCTTTTTTTTTTTTTTTTTTTTAAATTTGACAAAGTTAGATAGTGAGAGAGACAGAGAAAAAGGTCTTCCTTCCATTGGTTCACCCCCCAAAATGGCTGCTACGGCCGATGCTGCACCAATCCGAAGCCAGGAGCCAGGTGCTTCTCCTGGTCTCCCATGGGGTGCAGGGGCCCAAGCACTTGGGCCATCCTCCACTGCCTTCCCGGGCCACAGCAGAGAGCTGGACTGGAAGAGGAGCAACCAGGACTAAAACCCAGTGCCCATATGGGATGCCGGCACCACAGGCAGAGGATTAACCAAGTGAACCACGGCACTGGCCCAAAGTGCCTTTTAAAAAAAATAGTGATACTTGGAGCTGGTGTTTAGCTTCTTGGTTTGGATGCCTGCATCCCACATCTGAGTGCCTGGATCCAGTGCCTGGCTCTGGCTTCCAACCGCAGCTTCCTGCCAGTCAGTACAGACCCTGGGAGGCAGCTGGTGATCAGCGCTCGGGTAACTGGGTTCCTGCTACACGTATTGGAGACCTGGATGGAGCTCCTGGCCCCTGACTTCAGCCAGCCCGCCCTGGTCACTGTAGGTACCTGGGGGAGTGACCCCAACGGGAGCTCTGTCTGTCTCTCTGCCTCTCAAATGAATTTTTAGACATTTAAAAATAGTAGGGTTGCCATAGGAATCTGAGTCATTGGTACTTTCTAGTGTACTTGTGCCTTAAATATTTACGTACTAAATGTAATATTTTAAAATGACGTTACCTTTCTTTCACTTACCCTTTACCTTGTAGTTAGGGCAAATATTGATTTTTTGAGGATTTATTTGCATAGGCAGGGCATACTGTCTCTAACGTCCAAGAAGGCCAGTGGGCATTACCAAATAGTGTGTAAGAAAAGGGCTGATGGAGCGGAGAGTCTCTGGCTGTGATTAGCAGCTAGGGGCGTTTCTTCCAGGTGGATACACAGTCATGCTTTAAAAAACACACATCATATGGAGTTTTGTACCACATTTTCACTAGTGAAATGCTATTTTCTGCAACTCCTGTGTTTTTATTTCTTCCTCATGGCTATCTTACTGACTTCGAGGATCAGATAAAATGTGATAGAAGAATAGAAAGAACCCCAGAAATTGTAAGAGGATTGTTGCTAGAAAACTGACGGCTTAGAAGTAAAGTGAAAAGCATTTCCACTCACAATAGAAGGTAAATCATCCTAAAAAGACACAGTATAAATTGGCAGGCCTTTTTTTTTTTTTTTAAAAAAAAAGAAAACTATAAAACTCCATTAAGAAATTTGAGATTTAAATAAATTATTTTATTTGAAAGGCAGAGTAAGAGAGAGAGAGAGAGAGAGAGAGAATATGACATCTTCCATCTGTTGTTTCACTCCCCAAATGACCACAATGGTCAGGGCTGGGCCAGGCTGAAGCTAGGAGGAGTCAGGAGTCAGGAGCTCCATCCGGTTCTCCCACGTGGTGGCAGGGGCCCAAGCACTTGGCCATCCTCTGCACATTATTATTTCCCACGCCATTATTTTTTTAATATTTATTTTTTTATTTACTTGAAAGGCAGAGCTACAGAATGAGAGAGAGAGAGAGAGAGAGAGAGAGAGAGAGAGATCTTTTATCCAGTGGTTCACTCCTCAAATGGCTGCAATGGCCAGGGCTAGGCTGGTCCAAAGCCAGGAGCCCGGAGCTTCCTCTGGGTCTCTCACATGGGTGCAGGGCCCCAGGGACTTGGGCCATCTTCTGTTACTTTCCTAGGCACATTAGCAGGGAACTGTACTGGAAGTGGAGCAGCCCGGTCTTGAACTGGCCCCCCTGTGGGATGCTGGTGTCACAGGTGGCAGCTTAATTCACTGTGTTACAACACTGGCCCCCGCCATTAGTTTTCAAATGTTACATTTGGTATGAGCATCTTCTTAAGTTAAAATCATGATTTTAAAATGGCAACGTAGTATGCCATCAAATAGACAGCCCATACTTTGGCCATTTTCTTGTTGGAAATGTTAGGTTTTTTCCCTCTCTCATTTTTCTTCATTTTGTACAATATTGGGAACATGCTTGTGCACAAAGCAGACCTTTCTACTCCACGTGACTGTCTGGGGAGTTCGCATGCTTGCAGTGGATGTGGTGGGTGGGTTCCCACTAAAGTCGCAGTGACTTAACGCAGCTTCTGTGACGCACGCCCACACGTTTCTCATGGTGTTGGAGGCTGGGGAACCTCAGGTCATGGCGCCGGCACATCCAGGGGCTGGTGGGCGCCCATTTCCTGCTTTGCCCTTGGCATACCCTCGCACGGTGGAGGGCAGAGAGAGGAAGGAGGCAGGAATGCCTCACCCTGTGGAGCTGTCATGTTTGCACATCATCACACTGGGGGCTAGGATTCCAGCATCTGAATCTTGAGGGACGCAGCACTGTGAACGCTGCACCCAGCCACAGCATGGGGCTCGTGTGTCCTCTGGTCCCCAGAGGCCCTGTCGTAAGAAGACATCGTGTGTGAGATGACACGGCCTCTTGGTGGCCCTCGATGGGACAGGCACTTTGGGGCTGTTAACACACCAAGCAGGCTGGTCGCAAAGCCCCTCCTGCGGGGTTCAGATCTGCTCTCCATCCCCCGGGCCCTCCTGATGGCTTTTGGCAGCTGACTCTCTGCTTTGACTGTGTTTTCTTTCTGAAGGCTAAGAGTTCCTCTCTGCTCCTGTCCTCACTCGTGCCTGGAACCTTGCTGGTGACCAGGAATGGCCAAGGCTTGGTTAGGATGAGCGACCATGTTGGGTTTCCCAAGCCACACCTCTTCCATCTCCCATCAGAAGGAGAGCTTTCCTAGCGATGTGTATTAAAACTGTACAGCATTGCTGAGGTTACTCACTTGAGGTGACCAGGGAGAGAAAAGTCCCATTCGCTGGTTCAATCAGTGCGGGAGCACCCATCTGCACGTTCACCTCCTAATGCGCTCCCCTCTCCCCCAACCAAGTGGCTGGAACTAGGCCCGGGTCAAAACTGGGGGCTGTGAGCCTATGGGTGGCAGGAACCCAGATATTTTAGGCATCAGGGCTGCTTCCCAGGTCCTGCAGTGGCAGGATTCTGGGGTCAGGGGCTGGGGTAAACCATCAAACCCAGGCACTCCGCTATGGGATGGGGCGTCTTAACCACTAGGCTGAACGGCGGCCCTTCTACATGCTTTATGTAGTGATTCTAGGTCTTACGTGTTACAGAACGATTTCTGCCTTAGCCTTGGTTTCTGCTGCCTCTCTTGGGAGGTAGGCAGTCCCGACTCCCCCTGGGGCTACTGTGGACACAGCTCTGGTGGGGAGGGGTAGAAGTGCCTCTTCACCTCTCCCCACAGGGCCAGAATGACACCTGGGGGGTGGCCTTGTTACCGCTGGCTGTCTGCAACATCTCCTCTGTTATCCTAGGAGACGGGAGGGGAAGAGAGGAGAGGGAGTCTGGAGACTGGTGCGTGCGTGTGTGCTGGAGGGGTGAGTTAGTCCATTTCGCATGCTGGAACAGAATGTCTCGGGCACTTGATAAAGCCAATGGTGTATTTAGCTCACAGCTTTGGGGGTTGAAAGTTCAAGATCGGGTGGCTTGGGCCTCTGATGGCAGGTGCACTTGAGAGCTGGAGGGGTCGGGCTCCCTGTTTTGTAGGCACTCACTCTCCGGAGGATAACCCAGGCCCCACAAGATCAGTCTTCAGCTCTTCAGGGTCACACTGAGATGACCTAACCACCCCCATGAGGCCCCGCCTCTCAGAGGCCCCACCCCCACGAGGCCCACCCCCCATGAGACCCCTCCACTCAACCAGCACCACCACAGGAAGCCCAAGCCCCCAGCACAGGACCCTGGGGGACTGGCTGCACAGGACCCCGGCTGTAGTGGGATGGAAGCCAGGATCCACTCACACGGGGGTGGGATGACAGCCTCAGCTTCCTGCACAGCCTGGGTGTGGGGGCTCCTAGTGTCAGTGGCTCTCTCCTGGTGGGGGCTCTCCCCAGGGGGGGGCAGGGGGAGTCTCTGCTCCCCTCTCAGTCTTTGCTGACTCAGGTTCGGGGGTGGGGTAGTTTTTTCTTGAGGTAGAGCAGTTACTGGTTTTATTTTTAAAGATTTATTTATTTATTTATTTATTTGAAAGGCAGAGTTACAGAGAGGCAGAGGCAGAGAGAGAGAGAGGTCTTCCATCCCCTGGTTCACTCCCCAGGTGACCACAACGGTGGATGAGCTGCGCCCATCTGAAGCCAGGAGCCAGGAGCTTCTTCCAGGCCTCCCATGCAGCTGCAGGGGCCCAAGTGTCTGAGCCATCTTCTACTGCTCTCCCAGGCCATAGCAGGGAGCTGGATCGGAGTGGAACAGCCAGGACTTGAACTGACATCTATATGGAATGCCAGTGCTGCAGGTGGAGGCTTTACCGGCTACACCACAGCGCCACTGTCCCCAGACCAGTTACTATTTGAGTCTTATGAGTCTTCCCCGACCCTGTCTGGCTTTGTTAGGCTGGGATTCCTTCTGTCTTTACCTGTCGGTATTTCTGGAATCCCCGCTTCTCCTGCCATGAATGTGAAGCAGAAAGCAAGGCCAGAAGGTGGCCTCTGTACTGCTCCTGGGGTGCCCTAACCGACCCCCTGGCTGCGTTCCGGTGCCTTCTCATGTGTTGTGTACTCGTCCGGGTTGGATCACGGCGAGACCGGCACCTGTCTTCTGTTTGGCCAGGAGCCTGGTCCGTGTTGCATTTTAAACTCCTCTGTATTTACAACTAGGGAAGGCTTTGCCTGGCCTTAAAGGCATGGCCAGCATTCCTGGAAGCAGGCGGCCGGGACAGAGGTGAGGCAGAAAGGATGAGAGT